ATTGAACAGCACTGGGCCCAGGACAGAGCCCTGTGGCACCCCACTGGTTAATTTTGGTTATTATTGGAAATTTTAAAAATATGTAATAGTGGCTCACCATATAATAATAGTAACTTGTATTTATATCCTGCCTTCCTCATGCAAGCTCAAGTTAGCACACATGGCTTATCTCTTCCCTTCCCATTTTATCCTCAAAACAACACTGTGTTCCCTGGGCTCCATTACTGTCCAAATCACTGATAATACGACAGTGTGTGTCTCCTTAACACAGGGTCTGTTTCTGTGGCAAAATAGATTAAACCCCCAGTATCTGGAGAACTTTGCAGCTTGCGATACTGAAATTGTGTCATTACTAGTTGATTTTCAGTTCCTGGTCTTTTGAGTATAAGTCTAGGCACTTCTGTGGAAGATTGGGCTAAAACTGGATATTGGTTGAAATCGAGATTTGTGTGCTGAGAACTATAGCTCAGATTAGTTTCTAATGGGTTTCTGATTGCAAAAAGTCAGTTTAGTTGATTACCTTAATTATAGGTGAAGCAGTTAGCTGTGCTTCATCTTGTTTGCTTAACATTTTCTATTATAAGATTCTCTCCCTTCCCACTTCTGCAGTTCATTTTGCTGGATCTATATTTCTAGTGGCCTTTTTAAAATGTCACAACAGAAAATAGAATAGAGTGACTTCAGAGGGAAACTTTGTCCCCAGTTTTAGACTGAAATATTTTTTATTCTGGTTTTGACAGCTGATTTAAGATTAGGCAAGAATTTGGTGAAACATCTAATTGCTGAGCTGGAAATAAATAGGTAGTTCAACTGTGATTGATGTTTCTAGGGCCATAATACTAAAAAAAAACAAATTTCTTCATGAAGGAAGCTGCATATGTTGCACATTGGAGTGTCACAAATAGTTTTTGTTGATGGGGAGGAAAAGCAGCAATCTTAAGCTCTGTCCTGTGCAGCTCTTTCATGCTGCTGTGTTGTTCTGGCACAGATGGAGACAAATATACTTAATAATGCTAACCCATGTGGTCTGTAATAATCTTTGCCCATAGACCTGCAATACCTTTGAATGTAAAGCGTGATGGGAATGGTTGTTTTTGTTAACTCTTAGCTTTCAGAGACATGAGTTTTTGGGGCCCATTCATGATAGTTAGGAAGTGCCTGTGACTTGGGCTCATGGGTCTTTCTTCCACCACCTACAGATGCAGTCTTGAATATGGAGCATTCATTGGGGAGGACTGTCTCAGGTTCCTTGCTGGATCAGACTAAAGGCTTATCTAGTTTAGTCTTTTTTCACACAATGAAAACAAGAGAAACAATATCATATAAATATATAATATTACAGGAATAAATATAAGCTAACAATATTAATCAAAGAAAAATCATTAAAGAACTATGAAGAGAATGGAAAGATAAGATAAGATATTGGAGAAAAAAGGGTGACTTAGGGCCTTTGCAGACTGCTAGAAATAGTGCAAATTGAGTCCACTTTAACTGTCCTGGTTCAGTGCTAGGAAATCATGGGAATTGTATTTTTTTTCTGAGACATTGAGCCTTCTCTGTCAGAGTGCTCTGGTGCCACAATAAAATACAGTTCCCATGATTCCCTAGCACTGAGTCAGGGCAGTTAAAGTGGACTCAATTTGCAAAGATCAGTCTGCAAAGGTCCTTAGTCAGGGGTCCCCGGACTTTTTGATCTGGAAGACAAAATGGCACCTGAGTGGTGCGCATGCGTGCGCGATGCCAGATGGCATTTTGTCTTGCAAAATGGCTCCCAGAGTCGTATGCATGCGTTTGTGACCCCGGGCGCATGCGCACAACTCCGGGCTCCATTTTGGAAGACAAAATGGCATCCAGCAGCGGGCGCGAGCAGTGGCGGCGGGCCAGTAGGAAGGCCTCGGTGGGCCGGGTCCAGCCCGCAGGCTGTAGTTTGGGGGTCCCCTGACCTTAGTTATAAGTCTTACAGGTTAATAAAAAGAGGAAGGAGAAGACTAAATGTGAGACAAGGAAGGTTAAAGGTAGGGCTAAAAGACAAAAATGAAAAGAGAGAAGAATGGATTTTGACTATATGAATATAGGCACATTATATATTTGTTCTATTTATCTATCACAGAAGAAGGAAGAAGTAAAACCTGCAGTTCCATGAAAAGAATATCGATATATTTATAGAAAGATGTAGAATAGCAATGAATGAATGTAATTAAATAGAAGAAAAGTATTATTAAACCCAAGTGGACAAACCCAATTCTGAAGGAAGTAATGAAAGGGAGGACAGGGATGGTTTGTTTGTAAAGACAAAGAATAAGTTACTTATTGTAAATAGATGATGAGATAATATTCATATTTGATAAAAATTAATAATGATAATATCAAAGGAAATGAGATATATCTCAATAAATGTCTGATGTTTTGATTCTAAATAGCCCTCTTAAGAAGACCTTAAAAGCACCAGTAGGTCAAAACATAAGCTTTTTAGCTAATAAACGGATCATCTTTTGAGCATTTTGAGACATGTCTCTTGTTTCCCTTGTAGATTTCTTTGGCTCTTCCCCAGTTTTGCTTTTTCAACCAGTTGCTGATTGGAAGCTCACCCTAAGCAGATATGTAAAGAGGATATGGTCCTGGCCTAGTAGTCCAAAATTGGTTCTCTATCAGCTTCCCTCTATTATGAAAACTCAAAATGAAGGCTGAAGGACCTCAGACAGAAGACTTTCGGACATTTTCTTTCCTACGTGCTTGTAATCCTGGAATGATTTTTATAAAGATGTTCACAGACATAGCCTTGCAGGTCAATCCTGTTTGTGAAGAAAATATCACAGCTTTTGCCCACATACTCCTTTATGCAGAGACTGACAATTTATGTCAGTTGTATCTCTTCTGCTGGTTCATATTAATTCAGTATGTTTGACTTCAGATGCACATTGGAAGCAGTTGCTGCCAGACTCTCTTATGGAAAGTACAAGGAAATGGACTGGAATACTCATGATTCTTGAATGGAGAACTGAAGATGCATTTGTTTGTTTAAAGCATTTATACCTTCCTAGAGCGGCTTATAAGATATGAAGTATGACAGCTCTTGCCCTGAGGTTTACAATCTAAATTTAAGACATAGCACACAAGGGGGGAAAAAGGGATGAGAAAGGGTGGGGACATAACTTCATAGCTTGTAATGAACCCGATTGATGGAAACGGTTCTGGCAGCCTGCTTCGATAGCTGCTGCAAGCTGACAGTTGAGGGAGAATGGCAGAGATATTTTTCTTTGCCGCTATTTGCTCTTCTCTCAACATTTGGAGGATAACATGCCTTCCAAAGCTTCTGTCAAGCAAACAGTTGTTCTTTTCTTATTTCTCCCACCTACCCCTATGAAGAGAAGAGATCTGGACCTGTAGATGTCTTTGGCTACATCTACACTGCAGAGTTACAGTTGGCCTTCTGAATCCATGGATTTAACCATCTTAAAAGTATTCTTTTAAAAAAAATATAAATCCCAAAAAACAAGCCTTGATTTTGCCATTTTATATATTACAAGGTATATCATTTTACTGTGTACATAATGGGACTTAAGCATCCATGGATTTTAGTATCCATGGAGTCAAACCCCAGCAGATACCAAGGGCCCACTGTAATGCAGTTTGACACCACTTTAACTGTCCTGGCTCAATGCTATGGATTTCTGGGGTTTGTAGTTTTTTTTGAGCTAGTTAAGCTTCTCTGTCAGAGAGCTGTGGTGCCACAACAAACTACAAATTCCAGAATTCCATAGCACTAACAGTTAAAGCGGTGTCAAACTGTATTATTTCTGCAGTGTAGATGCAGCCTGTGTCTAGTGACCTATTAGCTGTTGGAGTCAGCTGAGAACTGTAGGGAAAAGTTCTTGTCTAATTGTAGTTGGAAGCTGGTTGTTTGACAGGAACTGACCTGGGTCATGATGGAAATCTAGCTGGCTGTTGTTGTTCTCCCTGAAGTGTATGGATGAATATACAGGTATCCAACTGATTTATATCCCACTTTTCTCCTTGCAAAGGACTGAGGATGTTTTAAGAAAAAAACGGTGCCGCCAAAAAATTACCACAAACATTAAAAAATATATAAAATGCAATTAAAATATAGCACTATCCCATTAAAAGCCCAATCTACCACATAACGTACAAGCCAAAGGCCTGAATAAAATGGACTTTGCCTGCTGGTGGAATAAAAGGAGAGAAGGGGCTAATGGAAGCTTCCATGTAGTTTCCTGATAGCAGCCATGAAGAAGATTCTCTCTCTTGTGCTCACCAAACATGCCTATGATGGTGGTGGGAC